ATTAGAGAAAGTAGTCGTCTTAGATGGTTTGGTCACATTAAACGTCGACTTTCTTATGATCCGATTGGGAGAGTAAATGTTTTAGATTCGACTTGTGTTAAGAAAGGCAGAGGTAGACCTAGGAAGACTTGGGCTTATTGTATTAAAAATGATCTTAATTTACTAGAACTAAATGATAATATGACACTAAATAGGAAGCAATGGAGAAAAAGGATTCATGTAGCCGACCTCACGTAGTGGGATTAAGGCTTTGTTGTTGTTGTTGTATCTAGACGTTTAGAATGATGTTCCCTTTTTTTGTAAATAAATAAAATGCAGTTTTCTATTTCTAGTGATGATTATTTTTTCCTCGAATAATATGTGGTTCTTGTCACACCAGTCTTATCAGCGGCGTTTCATTTTTTTGCGCTACTATGTGAGTGTGTGTGTGTATGTATGTGGGCGCGCGCGCACGCGAAGTTTGGGTAGTCATATTTATTTCTGTGACTTCACTTCTTTTCATTCCTCTTCTTCCCTGTTCTCTCGCATGCGTTGTTACAGATAGTATGGCGCGGAAGTTCTCCAAGGAATCATTTGGGTCTAAAAAATCTCGACTCTTTCAAAAGCAGACGTGAGGGAGGTTCAGAGCTTCTAGGTTTTCGGCCCTTCTATCCAACTTCGGCCTGCAGCCAGCCATGAGCAGGCGACGGGTCATTTTTTTCGGATTTGGTTTTCTATAAAGATCAATTTAAAATGAGTCTTCGTCTGCTTTTATGCAAGGAATTACGATCGATTTTCGGACAATACAAGGTTGTTCCTACACAAGTTCTTCCCAGGTTTATGGCTTTCATAATAACCTTTGTACTCTTTTGTTGAAGGATGAAGATACCTTGGTCGATCGAACTGTTCAATAATTTCTTTGCTTTCCGAATCGGCAGGGACAACTATGTTCAGTTTGCCGCCGGTCCCAAGATACATTTTGTGGGTCTTGAAAATAAGCTAAGAGATTGGAAAGCCAAGTTCTTGGTGGGTTCCTACGCTGGTGGCTGAGGGATTAGCACTGTTCCAATGGAATGCGAGATAAAGAAAGTGATGACACTTTCTGGTAATATTAGAGATTACAAGGCGTTGATTAAGCGCCTCTCATAGTTTTAATACCTTGATCCGAACATGATTGAGCGTATGCTTTGGCCCGACGATAGCGAGACCATGACCGAAGGGTTGTGGTTATCATCCGATGCTCAGGAAGTGGCTAGAGAGAAGGCTGCCGAGAAGACGACAGCTTCAAAGATACAACGGGGAAAAAGTTATCCTTCCTTGCTTGGGAGAGGTGAGAGTCGGTCTGCCCTCATTGGTTCGACCGAAGAATGTGCTGAAAGTAAGAAAATTTTCCTCGTTTTAGTTGTTTTTATGTATGAGCGTGTTAATATTGTTTGGTTGTGTTACTTGAAGAGAGCGATGAGGATGTCTTCAAGATTCGCAGCGCATCTGATTTTGGGGTTTCTCTGGCCCGTCCCTCGATTGGTGGGGTTTCCGTTGTAACTCATGGTAGGACCTCGTTCGTAGGTTTGTACGATCGAGCGGAGGCAAGTCGCTCTTCTCATTCAATCTCAATAAGGACCGAGCCGGGAGAAGAATCAGAAAATGCCAAGGAAGTGGGAGGTAACGTTCATCGAAGAAAAGGAAATGCTCCTGTTTCAAAAGCTGAGCTGTCTCCTCCTCCAGGAAGAGGGATTCCATCCGAGTGGTTGTTCTCTCATGGTCAAGGGCTGGAGTTTGGAACGAGCAGTCATTATACTCTTCTTGATAGGAAGACTGAGTGATATTCTTTTACCCCTTTGAATGAGGACACCGGTAACTTGATGGAAATGTTTTGATCTCCCATCTTCGAAAAGCAGCTGAAAATGATGGGCAGGCGAGATATGTATAAGGCGATCAATCGCTATCATTTTCTTGCAAGGGAGGCTTCACTTTTTCTGGTGATTCTTTTAGATTGAGTCAAAGGGAAAATTGAGAGGGGTGTCTTGCGGATAGAAAAATTGAGGTGAAAAGTCCCATGGCTGAGGAAAAACTTAAACTATCTGTGGAGCTGAGGGGAGTTGGAGGCTCAGGAACATGAGACCCTTCTTAAGGAGCACGAAGAGATGAAAAAGGTCTCCTTTATGATTAGTCGGGATCAGGATGTCGAGCGCCTCTCCCGTCAGATTGTGGTTGGCACATCTCTTGTTGTAGAGTGGCATGTGAAAACATGGACTAGTCGATCCTAGGTGGCGGGACATGGAGGAGTTCGACACGTTACTTTCAGATTCAGAGGGTAGAGAACAAAAATCATCGAATGGGAAATCGGGTGGTGTCGGGTGAGCTGAAGAAATCGAGGAAGAGGGTGCTGGGGAATCCTCAAATGTACAGAACTGGCGGGTGATCTCTTGTTAGCTTCACTTTTTTTTTTTTTTTTATGTTTACATGCGCTTGTATGAAAATTTTGTAATTCACTTTCTGTAAACAAAGTTTATAGAGTAAGGGATTTTTTAAACTGGAGGGTTTAGTACTTCGAGTTTTTTTTTTTCTTGCATTCAACGACTGTTCTAGTTCATGAGCAAATTTTTTCTTGTCGTGAATTGTTGGAAAGTGTGGGTATACACCACTCGCAAAGTTAGGTGTTGTTAAGTGTAAACGTCACAGTTTGGGTGCAAGACGATCGTCTGTGCGCCCCACATGGAGCTTGTCTCTATCGGGTATTATAATTATAATTCGAGCACAAGACGATCGTTTATGCACCCCTCGCGAAGCTTGCCGCTGTCGGGTGTCGATATGTCTCGTACGCCTCTTATGATCATTAGAGACCACTAGCGGAGCTTGTCACTATCAAGTGTTGACCTTATAATTTGGGTGCAGGACAATCGTTCAAGCACCATTCACGGAGCCTGTTGCTGTCGAGTGTCGATACGTCCCATAGGCCCCTGACAATCATTAAACACCCCTCGCGGAACTTGTCACCGTCGGGTGAACCTAATAATTCAGGCGCAGGATGATTGTTCACCCACCCCTCGCGGAGCTAGTCACCGTCGGGTGTCGATACCTCTCATAAGCCTCTGACGATCGTTAGACGCCTCTCGCAAAGCTTGTCGTTGTCAAACTTATAATTCGGGCCTAGGACGATCATTTAAGCATACCTCACGGAGCTTGTCGCTGCAGGGTGATTAGATGGGATGAATTAATCGTTCTGTACGAAAGCGAGTACAATAAAGAACAGTAAAAGAGAGTGTAACAATTATTCATATCATAAATCCCCTATTTATGGGCATGGCAGAGGTCCCAACATTACAAAAAGTACATATTAGCCTCATATTCATTGACTTTTCCGAGGAATTTTTTAGTGATTACAGTTATTCGTAAATAATAAGATCGAGGGGTTGATGCAATCAATAATAATTCACCGATCATTTGGTAAGTCTCAAATTGATCGATATTTAATCCGAAAGAATGTTTCTTGTCGATCGTCCCAAGGGTTGTTCAATGTCCTGCAAGAAATCTCCTGACAAGTTCCGCCGATCAGCCTAACAAGATGCCTCTCTCGCCATCATTGTTCGAAATGGTCATCAGCAGCCACCTTCAATCGGTCATTTCTTCCTCTTGAGTTGTTTATCTGTTATGAGATTCGTGCTAACATATTTTATATATACAGTCTTGATTTAAAAGTTAATTTTTGTATTTTGCTCAATCAGAATTTGTAGAGCAACTGAAGGGTTCAATATATCATAATTTTTTCGTGATAAGTGGAAACAAATAAATTGGGACTAATAATTCCATGCTTTCTTCCATATGCATTGAACATTCTTGCCAAAATATAGTATAATACTTCCTGCTAAAAACTACAAAAAATCCAGTTGCAAGTTGCAACAATTTGCACCAAAAGAATAATAGCACATTATTGTGAAGATGTTTAAAGCTATGTCCTTGGATTGTGACTCTAAATAAAACAATTTGATTTTTGCATGATTCAAAATTCAATGACTATAGTATAAACTTTGATTTCTAATATAATTATCAGCCCATCTTTATAAAGAATCCACAAAACCAAAAAAAAACAAAAGCTAGACAAAAGTCCAAAAGTAAAAAAGAACAAAGATAGCTGCCTATTCTAGGATAAAATATAAATGCGAGCATGATGGTGAACAAAACAATACTGGTAAAAATGCTACCAATTGAGGATTAGTATAGACCTTTATCTAGTGATTCTTGAGCCTCTTCGAGCAAAACCATTGAGTTTAAAAAGGGATCGAGATCAGAACTTGAATGTAAATTCTCACTCTTTCGATTATTCTTGGCCAACAGCTCAGCATCCAAAACTTCTCTAGATGGGTTTACCTCCTCCCCATTTTCTTTATAGTAACCTAAGCGAACCTCTTCACCTGTGTGAGCCTCATCACCATGTTCACCAAAATTCAAGGGCCTTCCATTATGCTTTCCGTTACTGTTGCCAACACTGCCCCGCAGTGCAACTCCAGCAGCAGAGCTTCTCAAATCAGACTCCACGCTACAAAAAGAATTCTCCTTCTCAAATCTTGCTAAATCTCCATTAGTTTTTTTGCTAGCGTCTACTGTTGCACCTCTGTCCTGTTGAACTTTCTGAAGACCGAGACGGGTTGAGCTCCTCGCACCAAAATTTTTCTGCCTCCCTCTTTCCTTGCCTGATGCAAGCATTTCATGCCTCAGCCGCGGAGCACTGGTAGCTGTAGATGATTTGCTACTGTGATCCTCACTGTTATCGGAATCCACGCCGATTGAAAAGCCACCAGTTGCCAATCGCTCGAGCTCCAGGTCCAGGGACCCAGTACCAACTGGAAGAGGATTGATATCAGCATTCCTTGACGCCACAGATGCTACAGACTCTTCACTCTCTCCGTCAGCCATACTCTTCAGCTTATTCTCTTCGTCACTCTTGAAAGGCTCAGAATTTGACAGCCTGCGCTTCAGAATCTGAGCAGAATCAGCACTGCTACTTTGCTACTTCCATCTTTTTTCAAATCCCTCTTTATCCTCCTCCATTTCCTCAGCCCACTCCCCTTCGTAACCACTGGCTTCGACTCCACTACTAACATATCACTTGGACTAGAATGACTTGAATTGCAATTGAACTCCTTTGGTTCAGCCAAAATAGTATCATCTATGAAAGGATTTGCCGCCGTTGCTGAAGTTCCAAGTACGGAAACTGCGGGATCAGTAAAGCCACTTTCAGTAGTATCAACAAGATTGTGCAGCTCTTCAGAAGCGACCTCGTCATAAGAATCAGCCCTAATTTCCTTCGACGGTAGTAGGTTATTAGCAGTCTCCCTTCCTTTCTCTCCCTCCACAGACTTGGCGTCCTCCAAATCCATCAAAGCGCGGAAAACTTCCGCACCGGGATTCCGGAAAACTAGAGATTATGATGGATTTTAGTTGGGAAAAGAGTTCAAGGAATTACTTTTGTTATTCTCGCCGCTGGGATCAGTGTTACTGGCAATCACAGACCGACGAACCCTAGGATTCGTGCAGATAACAGGGGAGAAGAAGCGACAATTGGCATCGAGGAGAGTACACCGCTGCCATTTTGCTTCCAAATCAAATCCCGATTGCCCAATTAAATATTAAATATATCGATTTTTAACGCTAAGATTATTACGTGGAAGGAATTTGGAGAACGGAGACATGGGACCCTACACGTGAGTTGTGCGCCGCCTGCGATCATGCCCGTCGATTTTTACGAAAAATTATTGGATCCGGATGCTTCCGCACTTCAATTATAAAATGACACTTGTAACTGTACAGTCTCACCCCAGAAGAATTAAATGTCATTTATTTATCCTGCGTCCCGTCCCAGCCCGACCCGACCCCACCGAATTGGCTGAAATTTAATCAAATGGTAGGATCATGCATCAGTAAGAGAAACTGTCGCACGCTTCTCGAGCATTTCTTCTTCCTCTCTATAACTTGCATGCAACCTCTTAATATATGATAACAGAAGCGCGAAACTTATTTTAGGGTACAGATAGGTTACAGCAAGTTACAGGGAGGTTACAAGGGGCTATACCGTGGATGTAACTCCCTTGTACCCTCGGTATAACCCTAATATCGCACGCAGCGCTGCGTACGTCTATCACACGCAAATTTTTTCCCATCGATTATGGTCACATAGCTAGTTTGCACTGTGAATCATCGGTCAGCATATGCCCGAGTCGCCTCTTTACCAAAATGGAAAAGAACAAGGTTACTGCGGAAACAGAAGGACATAAAAAGATGGAAACTATAAAGTTGAAGAAGATAGAAGGCAAATAGCTTAAGAAGAAAAAGACCAAAGAGCTTAAGAGTCATGAAAGCTCATCCAGGTAATCTAAAAACAAAATAAGTTACAAAACACTAAAATAATATCAAAATAATACAATAATATCACATCAATTGCACATCAATAACACTAGTATTATTAAATAATACCAAACTAACACTACTGTAACAACAAAATAATATCAATTATTGGAAAGAAGAATACTGAAATATCACCATACTAACACTGAAATAATACTAATAATACTAACATAATATCATGATACCACCATAATTCAAAACCTTGAAAACCTTAAAGAATACTGAAATAATATCATAATAACACCAAAATAATATCATCATATCAATAAAAGTCAAAACCCTAAAAACCTAAAAAATACCTCAATAAAACTTCAATAACACCTAAATAACACCGTAATAACACAAAAAAATACCGAAATAACACCATAACAACATCGAAATAACACCATGATACAACCAAGATCCTAAATCCTAAGCCTTAATAACGACTCAATAACACTTCAATAACACCTAGATAACACCCTAATAACACCATAATAATACTGAAATAACATCATGATAACACCAAATTTACATCGTGATACCATCAAAATCCTAAATCCACAACTCTAAACACCTTAATAACGCCTGAAACATATAAATAACGCCTAAAAAACACATGAATAACACCTCGATAACAAAACTATGATGCCAATAACTAGTTTTTTTATGTTTTTTAGGTGTGATTTTATGTTGTTTAATTCATTTTCTTGATGTATAGATAACTAAATGACAATATTTTTTGCATTATCTTTTTTTTAGGTTTGTGAACACATGGTCCTTCAATTGTAGATGTCGTCCATTTGCTGTAAGAGATGATCTTTAATAATGAAGGTTAGTTCTAAAAGATAATATATTTAATATAAGAGTATAAGGCTGTGTGTGCTCTATTTAAAATGAAGGAAATTGTATTTTTAAATATTAAGAGAGTCTTAGAGTTAGATAAAAAAAAGATTGAGACTTTATGAAATTTTTTTTTCAAAGCTAATATGCATTTCTAAGTAAGACATGTATAAAGTTTTTAATTTTAAGAAGAGGATAATGAAGTTCAAAATCATTAAAGTTTATATAGATGTAATAATTCTCACATGAAAAATAAAATAAAATAAGGATTAAAAATGATCCTAAAAGAAAAAAAAAAGAGAGAAGAAGAAAAGAGAAAAAGAAAAGAAAAAAAAAAATTGAGAAGAAGCTTGAAGAGATGCCTAATAAAAAATTGGCATCACTTGAATCAATTTAAGGAAAGTTTAAGGAAAGAGGCTTAAATATTAAGGAAAGAGGCTTAAATACATTTCTAAACTTGTAATAAAAAGCTTTAGCATATTCACTAATGAAGTTCTTTTTCATATAATTCTTCTAAGCATTCTTAATATGACAAATTATAATTATTCTTGAAATGAATAAAAAATCAAAACTCTTAGACTTAATTACTAGATAGTCTTATCTTTCTAGTTTTAACTTAAGTTATTAAAAATTTTTCTAAAGTCTTACTATTGTATTTATAAAACAAAAACTATAGAAGTGTTTAAGTGATTCTCCCTACATTAAGTCATACTTCTTATGTAGTAAAAGAGTTATTTGAGAACAAGTAACAGATAAGTTTGGAGGATTTTGATACACAAAAGAAATATTCAATCTTACATATCTATTTAAGGCTTACTTTGGTCATATTGAACTTTAAAGCAATGTATTTTCATGTTTTATTGCAGGTATACTAAGTCTAGGCATTTTGAGCTTAAAGGATGCAAAAAACACTAAATTTTGAGTCAAAAGTAGCATTTTCAAAAAAACTGAGCTGGCGCCTACACGCCAGAATATAGAGAAGACGACGCGTAGGCGCCAGAGATAGTTATTTTCACAAATGCATTGAATTTGGATGGATTTTGAGTGCAAATAAATAGAAAAATATTCATTGATGGACGTAGAGTTGCATAAAACTAGTAGAATACTAAGCATATCTATACACTCGAAAGAGAGTAGGTAGATATATGTTCCTTGTTGGCACATAATTATTCATAATTCTATCAATTATTTTACTGCTTATGCTAGTATCTTCATTTTACTTTTCTTTTGCAATGGAATGATTTCATGTTTAGGAATTTAAATATGCTTAGATCTTTTCTTATTTGATTAATTAATGGTATTTTTACTAGCTCTTAATTTACTTTACAAACTGATCACTCGTATTGTTAAAATATGTTGCTAAACATAGTGACTCGGAAGGGTTATGATTTCCACAACTAGTGCGTACCACATTCAACTTTTGAAAGAGCAATGACAGTCGTCCAAGGGGGAGTACAAATATTCAGGGAGATAAGTTTTGATCGGCATAGAGTTGGAGAGTTTATGGTGACAGACTAACCAATTTGGTTCAGATGTTTGGAAACTAAAGTGAGATGTTAGCCCTCAGGTGAGGGAAAGTGGGAACTCAAGTGTGAGAGCTATTATCTTCGCAGCCTAACCACGGGTTTAGGGACTAAACTTTGGATTAGCCAACGTTGTTTATGCACTCGAGAGAGGGTAAAGAAACGGTATGCTCCTATTTATCACTGACAACATTATATTTTATGCATTTCATTTCTATAAATTATTTAGGACATTATTCGAGAAGGGTCATCTTTATCATCTCAAAATTCTCCAAATCAATTTATCCAGATATAGTATCTTTAGATTTAAGAATTTAATTTAGAAATAATTATTAGAAAACTCACATTAATTGACATTTCAAACTAAAACCTCATAGTAGTAGTCTAGAATTAGCCTTATCTCATTTCTCTGTGGGATCGATACTGATAATTTTAAAGAAAACCCTATATTGCTTGAAACGATACGTATACTTGCGTAGTACCCCTGATGTGTAGATTATTTTCTAAATTTTATAACATTTTGATTTTGCACACTAAATGCTGAATACAAAATTGGGCCAATTTTTTCGTCATCTTTTGGAAGCTAAATTACTGCGTAATTGCGGGTAAGGTCAAGTTTTTGACATCGTTGCTGGGGAAGCTTTGGTAAAAAATTTAGAATAATTTTAGTTAAACATGCAAGACTTAAATTTTGAAATTATAATATTATTGTATAGTGTGTTTAATTATTGTTTGTATATTTTATTAAAAGAATCGAAATTACCAAAAATTTTTTTGATATCTTTCATATTAGTTAAGTCTTTTAATTTGTATGCGTAGTTCAGGTGCTACAGACCTTGAATTTTACGACCCATATTTAGAGAAAATTTTTAGGAGGCTTGTGAATCAGAAAACACTCCATGAATTTAATGTAAAAATGGCAGATCAATAATAGAATGAATATTTTGATTTGGATTATAATACTAGTAGCTTTGAAAGCGTAAACCCCAAGAGAGTAGCAAATTTTCATGAATATATACTTACTTTTTAACTTCTCAGGTTGCAGATATTTAGAGAAAGTTAGATTAATATATAGAACGTTATCCTCTAGCGCCCCCAAATATTGAGAAAAATTCATTAAGATAATTGATTGAGACTAAATCTTTTGAAACTAGTCATGAGATATACAATCCTTATTCCAATTATAACCATCCAGGTTGGGAAAATTATTTAAACTTTAACTGGAATAATAATTTTGGAGGAGAAACCCAATTTTGGGAAGATAATCAGTTTAATCATACATGTAATTGAAATAATCAGGATAATTTTAATGTTGGACTTTCTTTTCATCATAATTTTAACTTCAACCCACAAAATGAGGAGAAGGATTTATTGGAAGAGATTGTTATTCAAATGGGGAGTCAACAAGAAAATGAAGGGGTTGCAATAAAGAATATAGAAAACCAACTAGAGCAGATTGTTGATTCAATTAATAGTTATCCTCATGAGATTTTACTTAGTAACCCTAAGATAATCCTCGAGGAGAATAGTAGTGGGAAAGATAAAGTTATCCAACTGAGAAGTGGAAGAGAATTGGAGGATATGGTTCTAATGAACGTTGAGTTGAGAAAAGAGGAAAAAGAGATTGAAAGACCAATGGAAGAAATTCTTAAGAAATTAGAGAAACCTATTTCATCAACCAAGATAGATATAGAAAGACCACCTCCATCCATTTCTTCAGAGTATATTGATACAAAAATTAAACCAAAAATTTTCAAGATTTATAGAAGAATTCAAGAAATTAACTATTAATATTCTGTTTGCTAAGACATTAGAACAAATGCCCAGTTATGTGAAGCTTAAGAAGGAGGTTCTTAACAAAAATAGGAAATTTAAGGATCATGCAATATCTACCTTTATGAATGAGGTAATTGAGCCAATAG